AGAGGTAGGCCATTTTGTCCAACCAGTCCTCTTCTACATTAACCCCCATAAGTTGGCTTTTTGAATAGTTTATCTTCAGTTCAGATGCTAGTTCAAATATCCTCATTATGCATTTCGTTGCCCAGACATTGCTCTCTGATGCTTTCCCAAAGATTAGAGCATCATCTACAAATTGGATATGCAAACAACGAACACCATTTTGTGCTACTTCCACACCGTCAAATGAACTTAGTTTCACTGCCTTTGTGATGATTCCATTTAAGCCCTCAGCTACTATTAAAAACAAAAAGGGTGATAGGGGGTCACCTTGTCTCAAGCCTTTATTGACCTTAAATTGCCTTGTAGGGCTACCATTGACTAGGATTGATATCATACTAGTTTGCAGACATTCCCTAATCCATCTTCTCAAAATATCTCCAAATCCCATTCTCATGAGCATGTAGTCCAAGAAGCACTAGTTGGCTTTATCAAACACCTTTTCAAAATCAATCTTAAAGAAGAAGCACTCCCTCTTCCGCTTTTTGGCATCATCTATAATTTCATTGGCAATTATTACTCCTTCACTTAATTGCCTACCTTTAATGAAAGCTATTTGTTGTTCCCCAATGACATAAGGAATCACCATGCTGAGTCGATTTGTAAGAAGTTTTGCAATGATTTTGTAAATGGCCCCTATCAATGAGATTGGCCTATAATCTTCTATTTTTTGTGGATTGCAGACCTTCTATTTTTTATGTATTTTAAATTTTTAATGTATATAGTTTAAACTGTATAAAATATTTTTTTTTATTAAAGAGAAGAAAAAATCAATATGTCTTTACATTTCAATTATAATTGCATAATGGATTGAATATAATGGAAATTCATATTATATCTCATATATTTAATAATATAATTGAACTTATTAACATTTTTTATATTAAGAGTTAAGACACACTAATTTCCACTTTCTCTTCTCATAAAAGAGAGAAAGAAAACTTTCCTTTTCTCTTCACTATGTAAAAAGGAGTTTCTTTCTTTAAGACATTTTTTTTATAAAAATATATTTACATATCACTACAAATATATCATTTATCACAATTTAGTAATAATATACCGAAAATGCTATAGTCATAATATCACGTATCATTATAAGTTTAAAACATAATATATTATTATATAATTGACCTTTTTTATTTGGGGGTCTATTTATAATATTGTATGCATTCACTTATTTAATACCACATTACACTCATTTAATTTCACGTCTTGGTTGTAAACTTGTAATCTTACATGACATTGTAACTATTACATTATCGATAATATACTACTCTTCATCTTATTATATTATAATATTTATTAAAATCTTTAATAAATCTCAAATAAATACATAATGGACCTTTAACATCCTTAAAAAGTCTCTAATAAATCTTCAATAAATATTGAATAAATACCTAATGAGTTTTTAAAATTAAATAAATATTCAATAGGCTTTTAAAATCCAAAGTCAATTATATTTTAAAATTATAATCTTTCTTTTCAATGTAATTGTATTTTAGTTTGACTTTAATTACTTCAATTATATTTCAATATGAACTCAATTATATTTTTAATAATAATATTTTCATATGTATTTTAAGTAGTACATTTTTAATAATAAAAAAAGTA